AATACAAGTCATATTTATTGTTCTTTTTATTTAAACTATAAAAGAATGTTATGAATCAGTTTTTAAATTTTAATAGAGCATTGTTGGTAAAGATTAAAAAGTAAATACTTAAGTAACATTTTTTTTTTTCGTGTTATAAATATAATAATGTATAATACTATAATTTATTTGCATTTTCGTTTTTGATTTCGTAATTAATTTTTCTTCGGTTTTTGGGATTTTTTGTTATCGTTTTTTGTTTTTGTTTTTTTTTCCGTTTACTAACGTTTTTTAAAAACGTTTTCCATCCCTGGTTTAAATTATTTATTTTATTTTATCACTGTGGTGTTATCATTGTGTATCTTACCTTTACATTTTTTCTGACTCTGGGAATGGGTAAAGTTGACGGAGTGATTGTTTACAAAAATACAGTACAAATCAATTGTAAAGCGAATTACCTGTTATATGTTATAATTATTATCAGTGATAAATAATAATACTGTTTATGGCTGGTGGAATCAATAATCACGATAAAGAAAAATAGCAAAAAAAAAAATAAAATAATAACTACCAAGTCAATATTGAAAACACAAACACATATCAAAAGTAGACAAAACGTGTATTACTAATATGTAAAAAAAATAAAGAACCTTGGGGGGGATCTATCCCCATATCCCCCCCCCGTGAGAACGCCCATGGTGTATGGGTAGGTACTGAGTAAATTGTTATATTTTTCTTTTATTAATGACGAGGTTACCCCTATAACATTTCCGTCTATAATATAGTTATATAATATTTTCTGTGAATATGCAATATAATAACTTACTGATGTTATAAATTATTATTTACTAAAATATATTTAATATTTCGGGTATTTTTTATTTAATTAATTTTCCAAAAATGAATTTATTTTAAATATGCGTTTTGGGAAAATTGCGTTACTTAACGTGTCAATAAAATGAATTAACTCGTTAAGTTACTGAATAACATGGGGAAAATGTAACTCGTTAATTAACTTAGTTAAAAGTAACTTAACTTTAACTTATTAATTCGTTAATGCCCAGCCTTGGATATTATTGTGAATAAAGTAATTTATATATAACTTATTTACGTAGAACGTTGTTTAAAATCTTCAATCCCAAAATTTGAACCTTGCATTTAGTTTTGACGTTTTTTTGCCCAACAAATAAAATTTTATTATAATTTATAGAAAAAAAAATTTAAATTTGAAATTGTCCATAAACAGCTCAAAACGAGTCAACATATTGTTTTATGGTGTATAGAAAATTAGAAAATCGTTTTTGATTTTTGAAATACAATAAAATAAGAAAATCGCTACATATCTCAAGTGAATATCCAATGTTGTAAAAATATGAACACCAAACGCTCATACAAATTAATTTAACTTTCTTGAAGACATTTTTTTTTGATAAAAGTGACAAACTTATGAGGAATCTTGTATTAAATTTTATGAATTTCCAACTCAAAATAATTTGTACTCTTTCGTGACTTTTACGTATTTTATCAAGATTTGAACTTTAAATGCTTATAAAAAAAATTGTGTCTTTGGATTTTTAATACTTTTCAAATGTGATTGTAACCAGTGACGTATTTAGGGGGGGGGGGGCTAGAGGGGGCGATCGCCCCGGGCGGCATTTTTATAGGGGCGGCATCAGATTTTTACATAACCCATCTTCTGTTAATGAAAATGAAAATGAAAAATAATATAAATTAGTTTTTTTTTATCAATAATATAATAATTAAAAAATAATAATTTTTATCAATAATATTTCAACATTGTTTATACAGTTATCGCTTATTAGTGACTTATTTAAGTATAGAAAACATTAAAACAATGAATTTTGAATTTTTATACGACATATACCCGTACGTAAATATTGGCTATTGCTCTAAGAATGTATCAATGTTGTCCTGTGTCTAACTGCTCTTCAGAGCGATCGTTTAGTGCACTAAAACGAATTAAAAGTTATTTTCGATTGAGGATGACTGATGAACGACTAAACAGTATCGCCATATTAAACATCGAATCAGATATTACAAAAGGTTTAGACTATGATGATATAATCAATGAGCTTAGTTCCTTGAAAGCTCGAAAAAAGAATATGTAAATTTTAAATATTTATTGTTTTGTAATTATAGTTGATAATAACTAAACCTATTTTATATTAAATATTTAAATGTGTCACCGGAAAGTAAGCTCCAACGCTCTCGGTAGTTTGAAAAAGTCAAATAATTTTTTTTGTGGAGGGGGGGGGGCGGAAAAACATTGGCACCCGGGCGCCAAATTTCTGTATACGTCTCTGATTGTAACAATATAGTAAGAGCTTCGTATTAAATTTTCAAGCTTTTTTACTCAACAAATAAAGTTTTATTGACATTCATAGAAAAAAAGACTAATAAAATTGGAAACTGTAAATGTCCGTAAACAGTTCAAAACAAATTAAAGATTTTGAACATTTTATCGAGTATAGAAAATACGTATATAAACAACCAGTGTAAATGTCATGTATTCGATAATTTGTTTTAAAGTTACATCATAAACCAAAATCGATTTTGTCGAAAACAGATTTTGCGTAAAAATTCCCGGTTTTCCTTAATTTCTTTATTGTTTTTCTCGACTCTTGTGAAAATTACTTTGAATTTTAAATTTTGACCTCCCATATGCTCCAACTTGATTCATTTCCCATCGAACAAGATAGATATTGAAGTTGAAAATCGAAACATTATATCGACTACTTATCTTGTACACTGTACACAGACACAATAAAAAATAATAATAACACATCAATACATCATTGTAAAATCAATACATTCATCACTCTGCTCTAAATCTAATATATTGTTATATAATTAAAGTATTATGTATAATTTTATAAAATATGAATTTAAATTTATATATTTTTAACTAACATAAAATATTTATACATTATTGTTACCTACCATGGATAATAATAATTGATTATAAGTAAGAAATAATTGAATAGTGTTTCGCCGTAAAACAAATGTTGAGAAACATTGTTCTAAAATGTAAGCAAACCTCTTTTTTTCCTCATACTGTGGTCTTTTTTATATTCACTAATTAACAAAATTGTATAAGCAGCAAGAATTAGGTATTTAAAGTGTAAATACAATATATATATATATAATATAATATACTTCATAATATATTTTAATACTATAAATAGGGAATAGGTTGGTATAGTGTATCATATTGTTTCCATACGCTTTTAGTACTAATTAATAAAATAAGTTTTGTTACGAACAGGATACCTTCTATAGAACTACGTAAAAATAGAAATTATTTTTGTATTTTTGTTGACAGTCGTGTCAAAACAGTCGACACAAAGATTCACTATCAGACTATCTATATAGTTCATATTGTATAATATAGTAATAGAATAACTTTTTACGCTAGTAATCGAGCGATGAAGGGCTTTCTAATTTTTTTTTGTTGTTACGGTTATTTTAATGTTTAGTCACGCCTCATGCAAAAACATTTGTACATCTATAACATACATTAAGTGATATTAATAACAAATGTAGATAAATGAATGAAATTTAACTATTATGTACTGAAATTATATTTGTGTCATCGCCCATATTGAAAATTAGTAAAATGTAAATTATGTAATATAAGTATGAAGTAACTAAATAATAATTTTTAAAATATTTTTTTGAAAAGTTCCTTATGTATATAAGTAACTATCAGAAAACTCATAACATTTGATTCATTCAGCTAAATTAAATAATAATTATAAATCTACATCTATTAGAAGATATGAAAATAATATAATAATCTACCAAACATATAGTAAAAACTTATAATAGAAAATGTATAAGAATGTATAGAATATTCTTTTTAAAAAGGAAAGAATCTTGCACCCTTTATTAAGCTCATACATTTTTATTACTCTTTGTAGTTATAAAAACCTGCAACTAAATAAAAATAATGGTATAAAAAGGCGTAATATAGTAATTTTCTTCTTCAATAGTAAAATAATAATTGTTTTTTTTTTTATATAGCTTATGTGTCGGAGCTCAATTCTATTTTGGCGAAAAAAGGAGCAGTAAGTACTCATTTAAATACTATTAGAAATAGAAACACTGTATATAATGGTAAATGAATTAATAATTAACAAACAGTTTAGTTTTCTAGCGTATAGTCGATATGTAAAATAAGCCTGACACAATTTACATTGCTATAGTTATTTATTATAGAATAATTTTTAATTTTTTCTAACCATTAATAATGTTAAGTTACTTTGTAAAATAAAATATATATATTTTATATGTACCTATATAGTATATAGATATAATCTACTAAATATGTAACTTTATATAAATATATTTCTGTTGTATTGCCAATAACCTATTCTCCTGGAGGTTTGGGTTCAAATATATAAATATACGGGTATTTTTACTCGACAGTTTGATAGTATAATGTATATGTTTATTTCCGTTTTTAAATACTATTCAACAACTAACCTTTGTAAATAATTGTACGAGTGTTGTCTAAAATTTTAATTCCAATTCAAATTTATAATTAATTGATTATAAAGAATGATTTGTTAATTTTAAAAATAGATTGGTTTTAAATAATTGTACTATGTCCTTCTGTTTCATTCTTAAAAATGTTAAGTTTTTATAAATACAAAAGAAACCATGATGAATCGGCGACTCGTGTTTTTTCAAACTCATCGACTGCGTCTACGTTATTTGGCACAGTTACAACTTCTGGCACCATTGGATATGAGGGTTTGGGCCATTAAAATTTTAACATTTCGGTTCGATTCGTGCTGTGTCGGTTGGTGGCCTGTGCCAGAGGTGGAAATTAGCTAGAAAGACGGTTCTAACGTATTATTACCACACAAATGTATAAACAGTCTGTTCCGACGTGAGTAACCGTTCGCATCGTTTTACATCTACGCGAGTTCGTGCCACGCGTACACAAGTGACTTGTTATGATATTTCTCTAATTGTTTCTGTATCATGATATTAAAATGTCAACATACTGTCGTATTACTGGCAAGAGCCGTGGTTTACCAAAACCGAATTATTTCCCATTGCTACCACCAATCTCACCAGCAGATGCAAAGCGTTTTTGTCGCATAACTGGAAAGTCATATGGGCTGCCTGCGCATCATTACATACCAGTGTTAGTTGGACGAAAAAAAACAAAATCTGATCCTAAACATGTAGTGATAAATGGATATCGGTATGTATTTCCAATAATAGATGGATGTTCAGAGTTATCTGATGTATTGAAAACGAAGTGCACAGATGATCGTAGATATGTGTACGCGGTGGATAAGCGTAGATGTAGTCTCGTATTTCCAACTAGCTTAGAAAATGCAGTTAGAGATGGAGACGTCAAAGATGTCATGATGTCAGAGACAAATGACACAGTTCTTCTTAAACTGCGTAAAGGTAAAACTGTCGAGTTAGAAATAAAAGAAATGGAAGTAGCTGGAGTTACGTTGATGGAAGGTGAAGGGTTTCGGAACAGGCCCAAACAGAAAAAAACTATAAAGGACGATTGGAGAAGGAAAATATTTGAAGACAAGGAAAAGGAAAGTGACGCTGAACTAGAACAGGAAGAACTCAAATCAAAACGGATAACATTTTCAGCAGGTCAAGGAAAACAAATTGAATCTATTGAATCTACGCCAAAAATTATGAACACAAAATCATTAACTATTTCAAAAATAAAAAATATTGTCAAACCAATCACGGAAAATATAATACTAGGGGAAAATAATAATAATTTAAAACTTCAAACCGATATATTACCCACTCCAATCTCAATTGAACCAAATGTCATAGATCTCGGTTCTGCATTTCCTGGTGTAATACATCAGACTTTTCTTAATGAAACTATTCTTACTAATTTACCTGTCGTTCCGGTTATATCACCAATAAAACCTTTGATAAATAACTTCAATAAACAACCTATGATTTTGCCTGACATCGACTCATGTGAAATTGAAGAAATATTAATCGAAGATAATATTAACAAATTATTAACAATTAATGAAATTAATTTACTAATTGAAAATATTCAATTGGGTACTCAAAAAATAATTCCTACCAGTCAAGGTACAACCAAAATATTTAAATTAGAAATTAACAATTCTGAAAAGTATGTGCCAGGACAATATGTAAAAACTGAAGATGGTGAAAAATTTGTACCTGGTAAAATTATTGACACAGCTAATGGTAAACTATTTGTGCATGGTGTTATGGTCCAAACATCAGACGGACCAAAATTCCTTCCTGGACAAATTATCGAAGATTCAGGCAAATCTATATTCGTTGTTGGTCAAAATATTGTAACAAGAGAAGGCGAATCATTTGTTCCAGGACAAACGATTACAATAGAAGGGGAGAAAAGATTTGTGCCTGGACAAACAGTTATTACTCCTGAAGGTATTGGTTTTGTGGCTGGACAAGTAGTCAACAATGGTGATGAATCACATTTTATCCCTGGGCAGACCGTAATGACTATTCATGGGCCACAATTTGTACCAGGCCAGTTTTGGAATGACGGAAACGTTGAATTTACTCCTGGACAAAGTGTTTTGAAAAATAATGGTGATTGGGAATTTGTTCCCGGTGTATGTGTTGGATCTTCTTTCATACCCGGATTAACAGTTATCGAAGAAGACAAAAAAGAATTCATTCCAGGAAGAATAGTAGAAACTAATAATGATACTTCTTTTATACCAGGTATAACAACTTTAGATAACAATGGAAATACAAAATTTGTTCCTGGAATAAGTATTGAAACAGAAAATGGAATAAAATTTGTATCTGGAAATATTTTATCAGACAATAATGGAAATAAACAGTTTATTTTGGGACACATTACAAATTCAGAAAATGGGGAAATTAATTTTACAGAAGCTAAGTCATTACAGGAAGTTATTTGTTCTGATGAAGTACAATCTGGAATTTTAACAAACGATTCATTTTATCCAAAAGGTGAGAAATCTGATGAAGTTTTTGGACAGATGGTACAAACCGCGTATGGGGTAGAATTTTATCCGGGTGATCAAGTGGGTTTACCTGCTGGAAAAATAGTTCCAGGAAAATTAATACGGAACAATGGTATTAGATTCGTTCCAGGTGTTGTAGTCGATGACAAATTTATACCAGGGCAAATTGTGGTAACAGATAGAGGAGAGCAGTTTGTACCGGGACAAGTGATTGAAACTCAAACGGGTCCCAAATTTGTGCCAGGACAAGTTGTAGAAACAGATACTGGTACGAAATTTGTTCCTGGGCAGACTATTGAAACCAAAGAAGGAATAAAATTTGTACCTGGTCAGATAGTAGAAACAAAAGCAGGTCCAACGTTTATACCGGGTCAAATAATATTTACAGAAGAAGAAGGATCTAGATTTGTACCTGGTCAAGTGGTCGATACAATAGAGGGACCAAGATTTGTACCAGGAAGAGTTATAGAAACTGGAGATTGTGTAACTTTTGTACCGGGTCAAGTAGTTGAAACAACAGAAGGTTTGAAATTTATTGCCCCAGATCTTCAAGATGCAGATGATGGTGGCTGTGAGTTCAGTGTCCAGGGATTTGAAGTGTCACCAGAGGAACTACGTGTTATTCAACCCAGTTTTCCTCAAACTTCGTATTATACACAAAATGGTAAAATGGCTCTTGATTCAAAAATGTTGGAACAATTATCATTTGCAGGAATGAGTATAGGAAGACAAGTTCCTGCAGAACTTCCAGAAGTTGATGTAAGCACACTTCCTTCAATGGAAGTGGCATATGACGTTGCAGAAAAACTGGAACTTAATAATGACAATACAATTAAATTGGCACATATAATTAATCGATTATGTAAGCTAGATTTAAAAAATACTTATTATGGATCACCATTAGTACAAAACTTAATAAACAAGTTGCCACAAATTAAATCAAACGATAATGTAGCTGAAGTTATTGAAAATATACTCAAAACTACTAAATCAAGTCCTATAACAGCTTTAAATGAAATTTATGTAGTTATATTTGATGATGGTTTTGTAACGGATTTAAAAAACCCAAATAAAGTCAATATTTTGAAGGGAATAATGAACAGTTCTGAACTTGAATCTAAATATATTGCTGAAGCATTCAGTGAAATTCTGAATGATTCAGAAGACTCTAAACTACGTTCAGCATTTGAACATATAGCAGAAGAAAATATAGAATTATTAAAAGAAGTGAAATTAAAAATTGACATGAAAAAAGTAAATAGTGAAAAAGAAGCAATTGAAGCATTACAGTGGGCAATCGTTAGTGTCATTAACAAAACAAGTGAAATAACTGTTAATCAAATGCTAAAAGACAATAAAAGTGAACAATTCAATCGTTTGTTATCTGATGCAGTTGGTCTTGCTAAAGCATTAGGACTGAAAGAAGTAGTTTCAGTACTTATGGATGTTTTAGATGATCGAAGATCAGCTGATATATTAGCATCAGATAAAATAACAATAGAGATACTAAGACGATTAACTGTAATGAGAAAACTTGCTGAAAGACGTCCAGAATTTAGTGAAACATTAAGCGGAATGTCAGCCGACCCAATTGAAGCTAGATTGGATCCCAGATTACGTGAACTAGTCAGAGAGAGTGGAGTTTTATTACTTCCTCCCGAAACAAACATTGAAACATCTTTTGATGTCCCTGCTGAATTATTCAGTCCAGGGAATAGCTTAGCAATGGAAGATTTTTTGGTGAAATCAAGAAAAATGGGAATTTTACTAATAATTAAAAATGGTCTTCAAGCTGTAGTACCACGAGAAGCAGCTAGATCAGTTTTAACAGGAGAGGTTCCATACACTGTTTTAGATGAAAGAGGCATGCACAGATTTGAACCAATGAATGTACTCGATGCTTTAAACATTCGAGCATACAGTTCAGGAAGATATTCAATGTATAATTGTGCTGTACAAAAAACGCTGACGGAAGATGAGGGAACTATTACCCGTGGTAGTTCAATTAGTTTGGATGATAGACAATTAACAATTGGAGAGGTTAAATATAATAAAACTTTAGATTAGTTATTTAAAAAACATTTGGTTATAAGCCTAACTAAATAAATTTTATTATAATGTTTACAGGGCGGCGGAGACGAATATGAAGTACTACAAGATTATGAAACAGAACCAGTTGATGGTGCTGACGAGGAAGATGATTTGATTTTGGAACCGGGTGACAGAGTTATTGTATTAAAACAATCCAAAGATGACCCATCAATGTAAGTAATATGTACAGAGGCAAACTTAGCAGCTACTACTTAACTACTACCTTTTAAATTTATAATTTTTAATATTAATTGTTAAACCTTTTATGACATAATACATGTATTGTAGAGTACAAATAAAGATATTCTAAATTTGGGTATCTTTGTTTCAATCGATATTAAGATTTTAACATAGGTAACGATAAAAGTCCAAGCAGTAGTTATTACAATGTATTATTGTATATATTCAAAATTTACTCATGAATGTACTGTCATTGGAGTTTGTTGATGAAAAAAATGAACTGTTGATTTTTTTTTGGCGAGTACGCATTGTCCGCAGACATTACAAATTGAGTTTATTATTTTGAAGTTGAGTGACTAGAGGCCGAATGGACAGCCTATAATTAGAGAATTTCTGGCAAAGGTTTTAAAACTGTCAAATCATGATTGGTCTACCGAATACTGTTCCTATGAAGGCCAATGTTGATTTCCATGCAGGGACTTAAGAGTTCTTTACATATAATTTGTTATCAGGGGCGCCGAGGTAAAACGAAATTTACTGTTGGACAATGCAGCGGCCAAACATAAAATGTCAGTACGACCAAATAAAGTACATCCAACCAAACACAAACCCTTGGATACAGACGGGTAAAATATGTCCATATATTGAAACTGCTGGCTTACGGTGCTATTACATGCTTGACGCTGCTTTTTGTACCTATTTATAAGACTCCGATGTTACGCTTTATCCTGTCATTGTAGTATTGAAATTAAAGTAATTGCTGTGTTTTAGATATATTTAAAGTATTTAGAAATTAAAAAAAAATAACTGCTTTTCTGTAGTTTATTTGTTTTATTATACATTTTATACTTAGAATATGAAGAACATAATATTTGAAATTTATAATTTATAGTAGTTATACGTTGTAATATATATTTTTACAACCCATATTGTATTAATAAATACATTTTTATTTATTAGTATCGAAATTAGAAATGTATAAACCAAGTTCTTTATATTAAATATATACAATTCAAATTACTTCGATTTTATCTGTGTGAAAAGACTGATATGAAACATGTTAGTTTGGTGTTTTATTTCAACTTAGATACATAACTACCACCTGACTACAAGTTATCATAGATAATCTTATTTGTTATCATACTTTTCGTTTTAATTTGAACGCTTAGTATACTACACATTTATAGATTCATTTATTTGGAAGTTTTTGTTGCTTTGCAACTCAATTATCATAGGTAATTTTTAATTGATTGTAATATTTCTTAGAGATATTGGATAGTTAATTTAAGAAAATAAAATTAAAAAAAAATTATGTTCAAAATGTTTAATATTATTATAATATGTAACAATTATTGTAAACTATGAAAAAATAACATGAGAAAATTTGAAAGTTTATTTTCATTATTCTGCATTTAATTATTATACTGTATACTTTAATTAAAATTTAAGAGTACCTATATTTGTTACCTACAACAAAAAGAGATTTTTAGACGTCATAATGTGAACTAAATTATATGTACATTGTACACAGTACACGAACTCCTGTCTGCTATTAGTTATCAATTATTATAATTTACAAATCTTTAAAAATAAATTACCTATCTATAGTTAACGGGAAATAGTTACCTAATAACAATTAAATACCTACTTCTCTGTAACTGCGCACTATAGTATCTAGGTAGATATTCTACACATTTTATCTAAGTATCAATTTTTGTAATTAAGTACCTACTAGTTAAATATGTTTTCAGAAAATTGTATCTAAATACGTAATTTAAGAACAAAAAAAAAGTGTTCGTTTATAAGTAAATCAACATTATTTGTTCAGTACAATTAAAATATAGTTTAAGGTCATATGCAATAATTTTGTTGAAATGTCCATTTATTTTCTACCACGAACACAATTTATTTGTGCATTTATAAAACATACTCTTGCTGAGCACGACTTGGCATCAAAAATCGTTATTACGTGGCCTAAGTAATTATTATTTGTAGTAGTATATTATGTTGGTCAACTTTTGTATGTAATATTGTTACATACAAAACCGTTGGATGGTAGAACGGTACTTGAACGTATAGGAATCAAACATCAAACGATGTATCTGCGGTACTTGTTATTTACCAAGCCACAAAATAGGTCACTTATTTATAAAATCTCATGACAAAATAAATGACTTATTGAAAATCTATTTTGTTATTAATTCTACACATTTAGATAGAGATTTAAAAATCTACGTTATTATAAGTAACGTTAATTGTTTTTGCTTAATCCTATATCGTCTTTAAATAATTCTAACATATTTAACCAAGTATCAATGGTTTTTAACCACTTTATAAAACGTATTTGAAACAATACGCAGCTGTTACCTACCTAATACATTTTCAGTTTTCAGGAAATAGAAATATACTAGTAATGAGTTGTTAAAATATACAGCTTCGTATAACAACAATTATAAATCATACCTAATGTAAAAGAAGATTGATATTTACGGAAGCTATTTCGTTAACTTGCCACATTGTAAAAATAGTTAAAAATCAAGAAAATGCATATAATGTTAATTCATGTTTGTATCTACGCAGAAAGAAACAGTATATATAATATAAATATGTATTGTTATGTATACATTTAAACAACTCCGATTTTTCAAATTTAATAATTTTCGCAAATAAATAATAGGTAGGTACTTGCTGTAAGTTTCTAAAATAAAAACATTTATATATATACTATGCTGTCTATGTAGTATTTTCAATAGAAAACAAAAATTACTTAGGTACTTAGTGGAAAAATGGCCTCTCCGATTAAATTCGTTAGTAAGCTACGTGCATAACATGTAGGTAGGTACATCGATATAGGTAGGTAAATGATTGATTCAAACATCTGCACTTATATAAAGTGAAAAAATGAAATACATTCCTAAATCGTTTTTACATAATATATCATATTATACAATATACCTACGTATCACAAGTACGTGTATATATTCACATGTAAGATCATCCAAGTAGGTAATGACGTTATAACTTCCATATTATATTATACTATATAACTTCCAGTACCGTAGGTTTTTTTTTTGGGCGGAGGGGGGCTAAAGTATAATATTGAAATTATTATAGTATATTCCTAGTGATCATAGTTTAAAAACAATATTCTTGCAATTATACCTAATATAGATATAGACATAAAATAATTCAAATACCTACCTAATGATTTATCGAGTTTGAACTCAACTTTTAAAACCCCAAGTTAGACATTTCATTTTACAAATTATAAAAATATCATCGTAGGCCGTAGTTAATTCGTACAAATAAAAATTTAAATTACCACCATAGATCTAACTTGATTCCTTAGAAAATAAATTGATGTATTGAGTTTTTAAATTTAGCAACCATAATTTATTGTAAAATCCCATACATAAGCTGGAATATGTACAATTCTCATTTCATAAAAATTAAATTTGCAAACTGTACAATATAAAAACAGGATATTTGGGCAATAGAATTGTTGATATTATTTAACAAAAAATAATTAAATTATATAGCTTCTATGCATCATTAAGTGAAATAAATAACCAATCTACGTTTCTAGTGTTAAGGATTATTATTTTCCGGGTGACAATACATATTAGTCAAAATATACAACAGTAAATTTCTACATCTTTCATTAGTTTTTCACAGTTTTCTTGATGACTAATATATTATTTATATTGAAATGACGTTCAATGTTGGAGTGATAACTGATCAACAATCATACAATTTGATTATGTAAAATCATCAGAAAATGTATAAATATGAAAACACATATCAAACGTATATTTTAGCCTTATGGATTTGGGCGTCAGCTTTTCTGCTGATTGTTATTAAAGTTATTAATTTCTATGCTAAACGTAATAAATTGAATTCTTAATATTATTTAGTGCATTCAAAATAAAAATAAAATAACACACATTACATTTTCAATGCTCATAAATCGTTTGAAACTATACGTATGTAAGTTTATAGTAATTCTCCGACAACATTATAAATATAATACATTTCTAGACAGTAATATTTATTATTTATACCACTTGAATGTAGTTTTAACTAAATTAACTATTACATAAACAAGTCGATGGCATTGCAGTAAAAAAGAATCATTGACCACGTTTGTTGGTGGCACTATTATATAGGATTTGATAGTTCATAAAAATCAAATTAACCAATATAGGTACTATTTTATGTATTTTATTATACGCCCACCAAAAGGGCATTTTATCTTTCGGATTTTTGCCAGATAAATTGTCTAACAAAATGTTTACCTAACATGCATGAGTGCTTATTGTATATACAACATAGGTACTTAAAAATAAATCTTTGGCGTTTAATAAACAATATTATGTTTAAAAATATGTCTATAAAACTAGAGCAGTGCAGTAGTTCAAAGAACGCTTTGAATACCTTTTTATTAGTGTGTTGTCAATAATTACCTATAATTATACCATGTATTAAATGCACAAAAACTCGCAGACATACATTGTATATTATTTATTTTATATGCTGTTAATATAATATTATAGGGCCGTGATATTGCTTTTATCATTTTTATTATTAGCATAAAAAAAAAATGTGCTGTATTAATATTTTTAATTATTGATTTAGGTCATTGGTTCAAAGTCTAGATGAGCCAACTAAAATGGGATATGTACCAAATAAAATTCTTAAAAAAATACCGGCTCCTGTTAGAGCGACTGCTGTGGTTCCAGCAGAAGGACAGACGTTATCAAAAAAAGATGCAAAATTCAATAGAGAGTAAGATAAGCCATTTTAAGAAATATTTTTACAGGTAGAGTGATTAGTTAATGTCTTAGCGATATTAGCTTTCGGTACTATCCAATGACGACTTATGAGTTATGATATAAATTTATTTTGTTCATTCCAGTGTAAACATTATCCTTATAGCCTTTAGGTAATCAATTTATCAGTCATAGTTTAACCAAAATAAATCTAATCCAGTGTTGGATCAAAGATTTTGTTTTTGTGGATGGGCGTGGGTAAACATGTTTTTATCATATTATTTTATTACTTATAAGTGTCCGTCACACCATCTTCTAACACATCTTATTGGCTTTGGGAGGGGGGATCCAGCTCATCTGCCCCTTCTTAAATCCGAGACACTGATAAAATCTATTAAATATAGGTAGTGAGAAATCACAATGTAATAAAATCATGGTTGATAATAAAATAACAAATCAGAAAAATATAGAATATGTTTTAAAATGTAGGTACATGACATTTCTGAAATTAAATTATAATATCTACCTATCTAATATAATTTAAAGAAAATAACCTTAGAAAACGTAGCACAGACATCAATTGTTGTGAAGCTCTCTAATTCTTAGGATTTATCCGAAGAATAGCTTCCGAATTCAAAATTAAACTACCTTTGAAATCCCTATTCTGCTCCTTAGTTCACCAATTATTCGAATATCAAAATATAATAAATTACCCTTTCAACGAAGGGTTGATTGCGCATTGTTTCTTACTCTCAATTTATGTCTTGCCCCCACAAAATTATACTCCGGTCTTATACTACCAACAATATTATCTATCCTTGCTGACTACAGAAGAACAGAAGAACCTCTAAAAAAACATATAAATTACTTAATTGATTCCCCACATTGCTGTCTGCAATTCATTTTAGAGTCGATCCGCGTTGCACAAGATTTTTTTGAATTTTTAATCCGGTTTCTTCCTCAGACTACTTTACTAAATGCCCCTTCATATTATACGTAATTATAACAAAATATGTGGACCCAAATTTTGAGTTTTAATTTTACCTTTTGTCTTTAGCTTTATTAGAAATAATATTAACATTGTTTCATTATTATATTGTACTTTTATTTCAAGCTATATTTAGAATAATAAAATAATTTAATTTTAGAAAAGCTTAATGCCTGTTATAGCATTAAAAATAATTTAAAAAATAGATTTAAATATATAAAATAAATTATATTTTTACAAAAATATGAAATAATTGTATTTTAAAGGAAAAATATTATTTATACAATATATTATTTTACTATTTAATATATAATTTATTTCTATGATTAAACCTTTTTATAGTGTGGTACTCGCAGAGTTAGTAGAAACTGAAGAAGAATTTGGTCAAGATATTCAAGAAGTAGTAGAAAGATATTTAAATCCTTTAGAGTTCAATGATGCACCAAGAATAGTCAGAGATAATAAAGATCTTATATTCAACAATTTAAAACAAATATCACAATTTCATAACACGTAAGTTATTTGAAAAATGTTTCCATGAAGTATACGAATTAACATACGTACATTATTAATTTAATGAATTATTTGTTTTTCTGTACAATTGTATAGAGTTCTTATTGCTGGATTAAAATATGCAGCTAGCGAACCAAAAACTATGGGCAGAACATTTCTTCGTTTAGTAAGTGTACCTATATTAAATAAATATTTGAGATCACATTAATTATTTATCATAATATATAAGTTGCTAAATACATTAATTCCTCGACGATTAAAATAAAAATACAGGACTGCATATATATGGAAACTATATATACAGGATGATTTTTTAAACATGCTCCCACCATTTTTTCCTTTAATAATACATTTATTCAAATTCGGATTTTCAGAATTTTTAAGTATACCTACCATAAAAGACCATATTATTACTCCTGATATTTTTTTAACTACTTTTGGTGTATCTTGTATATACAAACATCTATTTTTCAAATGAGTACCTCCCCCCATTAATACTGCAAATTGTTTTGTGGGTAATTTTCTTGAAAATGTTGATGTATCTTAATCAAAGTTCTAATTAGTAGTTTCTGCAGATTTATAAAAATGTTTATACTAAGAATAATAATCCTTAAATATGGTTTTGCAAAAATATAAGCTATATGTAATATTAAATGTAGTACCTAATCATTATACTTAGATAATTTTCACAAATTATTTATATTGATAAATCAATAGTAATTACTAACATTTTAAAATCATCTAAGCCTTCAAATCTATAATTAACCCATTAATCATTACCATAGTCAGATTATCCTTAGTACACAAAGTTATTTAACTAAAGATGTTGATTTAGATAGGTAGATACGTCAAAGTTCTGAAAAAAATTATCTGCTGAATAATTAAAAGAGGGCCCCCTTATTTGGGGTACTATTAAAAAACAGACGTTTGTGTTATCACAGGATCATCCTTAAGTGGTACAAAAAATCTCAAGTATTCGGAAATATTATGTTCAAGTAAATTTAAAAATTTCAAAAACCAGAATTTAAGTTTATGTATAATTTAAGCATAAAAATGGGGTGAGCATGCCTAAAACTTTTGCCCAGCTTACCTTGGTAAAAAGTATTGGTGTACCGTCATAATATCATCATTGATTATAAATACTAGTATTTTGATAATATATTGATATTATGTTCAATTTAAATTCAATTATAACTCTCGATGAACTCTATTTTGATAGTTGTTTTAACGAAAAAAAATTGTTTTTAATAAACAAAAATACTAATAGTGTAATTAAAAAAATTAAATTATAATATACGTATGTTGTATCTTCTAGAACAATAAATTTAAACCTACAATTTAAAAAAAATACCTATTAAATCAATCTGCTGTATCTTATAGTAGTTGAATCGACTGTCAAGTATTATGTCACTATAATGAATCATGGATATGTTAAGTTTGAATTCTATAATAATA